TAAGCAGTAGCACACATATTTATCCTTTGTCTTGTGTTAGCTTTCAGTTCCTATTTCTTATGTTAGACAGGTCGGTGTATTAAATCAGCCATAATCATCACCCTCAAAACAATAATTTATCATCCAATTTGTTTCTTACCGCTTGGTTACCTTGTTAAGCTTCCTTATCCATGAAAAGATTGGTTTTAATATTTTTGGTGTAGCTTTCTGGACCTTTCTTTTGACAGCATACCTCTTGTTTTCAATAAAAAAATAATGGTAAAATAAACCTCAAGAGAATTATATAAATAAACTGAATTGGTCTTATCTTGCCTTACATGTATGGGCATGCCTTGTCTAGTGAAATGTTTTTTTTAGTTTAAATAGAGGTTCCTGATGCAGTACACAAATTTATGTGGTGCTTTTATGCATCTTAAACTTAAAAACGGGTCGGTGCCGACCCCAACACCAGAGCTGTTATAATCTTGACCAGAGCATTTATTTTTAATTTAGTGATTTTTAAATTTTGCTTAAATGGAGATTCCTGACAAAGTCAAAAAGCCTTGATGCAGTAAACAAATGTATGTGTCACGATCGCGGGGCAGGTGAGCCGAAAAGCAGGCGAATGGAGCCGTGAAGACGGATAAATGGGGTTTTAATGAGCCAATGACAGACAGGTAGGGACATCCACGGACACTACAATGATGGATCTGACGAGACGTACTCAGACGCGGACTAAATACACAAGACTAGCCAGAAATAACAGGACGCAGGTGATCACAATCAGGAATTGACACGAGGTAATGAGGGGGCGTGGCACACACGAGGATCGTAGGGAGCTGGGCGTGACAGTATGCAGTGCTTTCATGCATTTTAAACTTACAAATGGGTCGGTGCCGACCCCAACACCATAGGAAGGTTAAATAACAATGAGGTATTGATGAGCGAAACAAGGCTCCGGACCCCCATGACCCTGCGCAGGACAAGTGGTTTCAGAAAATGGATGGATGGATTAATTTAATTGTTGACGATTTGACTAGATCCCAGATTTCTTGGGCTGTGTTTGAAATGTCCACTTGCCCACTATATAGTCCACTATATAGTGAGTCACCCATTCTGTTGTTCTGTTCCAATTCTCAACTGTACATTTCATTAGAAGCTGTACCCTACATTGCTCGACCTAGACCGTTATGCATTACGGTCTGTCACGTGAGTGACGCAACCATATTTGAGAAACTTTGCTCAGTCTGAATTGTGATGGTTAACTAGCTTGCTTATGATATACTTGCACGCAGGGGTACTGTAAAGCAGGGAAAAATATCCAAGGGCCCCTGAGTGACCGCGGCCCTAAAAAATCTGATTGATTTGGGTTAGGGGCCCGATATGCTTTCATGGGGCCAAAATTCTTTAGCGGCACCCCTGCTTGCATGTGAGCTATAACAGTAACAGGGCTACTGATGCTTTAAAAACAAACTGCAATTTTAATTCTGAACGGATTAAGTTCGAGTTCTGAGGTATCACTGTATATTGAAGATCAGTATAAAACATCACAGTTACAGCTGCAGTTCCCATCATGCTTGCGTAGGTAGATACAGTACAGTAAAGTATGATGTAAATAAAGTTACATGTGCACAGAATATTGTTTTATTTTAACGTTGTGAAGATGTACATATATCAGTTACAATGTGTACTATTCTAAAAATAGCAATGTTGGCATATTTTTTTATTTATTACAATAATGGACAAGTACATTAACACTCTGGTATTTGTTTATGCAACAGAAATAACAATTACGAATATCAGGCGTATAATTATGTAGCAGCGGTACAACGGCTAGCATCTGAAATGTATCAACTGCTCTCTGCCTTTATCTGCGGTGTACCTGAAAACCAAGAGCATGTCATCGACACAGCACAAAAACATTTGAACACAGAAGTCGATTCCTGACCCTCCCTTTAAGGTCTCTCGGACACCAAATAATCTGGAGCTCCTTGAAACAGGAAGAATAATCTGGAAAAGGACAATGGATGAATCCCAATGCCAAAAGTGCAAAGTCCATACTTGCGGTTTTGGCAAGACCGGTCTTGCTAATTTGCCTTCCAAGAATGAACATAAGATGCAACTGATGTATCTTTGATATTTGGGGCAGAGCAAGACCAACATCCGGGGAACACAGTCCTTGTGTTCTTAGAATTGGAACTGGTCTTTGGTGCACATACACATGTACACATGTACACAAGTAGTTCAGTGACATATCACAAGTTCCACCTTATTTTAAAGCTATGCTTTATGCTACCGTGGGAAATGTCGAACAAACGCCACGGTTGCGAAATTAATCCAGATAAGATTTGTATCGATTCTTTCCACGGGTCAGAGATTACAAAACAAGTTATTTGACTCTGTGCAGAAGTCTCCAAAATGCTTATAATGCCAAGAGAAATGTGGGGTAGTATGTCTCTGAGTTTTAAGTATTTTATTTCAGGAAGGTCCAATCACTTGTACTATTTTCAGAGGTACCACTTTACAATAAGGCTTCCTTTTGCCACTTGTAAATGGCAGAAACTCATTAATAAAAAGAAAACTGTGTTATAACTTGTTTAAAATTGTCTATTAATAATTTACAAAGTGTTACAACCTAATTAGTAACCAGATTGTAAACCATTCATAAGCTCTTTATATGGGTAACCTTATTGTAAAGTGGCACCAGCGCAGGCTGAAGGGCTACAGCCTGAATTCACAGAAACCGGGAATTTCACATCCCAGAAACTGAAGTCTTCCTCAGTTATTATGGCAAATTGCTCTGTGAAGCTGAACTGCTCGGGGATGTTTACTTGAAAAAACACATAGTTATTTGTCAGAACACGGACAGAACTTGCACTTTCTTTGAGGGTTTGGCATGGAAGCTTAAATCATCTGAAGAATTTTCTAGCAGAAGCGGGTGATTATACCTCTGAATTAGATGTTGTCAGTCCTTGATGGTAATAAACATTACTGTTTTTCAATGCAGTGAATTATTATTTGAATAACATGCTTCAGCGTCAAATTTCAAAAACTATGTATTATGTATTCTCGCCTTCACCTAATACCTTTTACATTACCCTTGAATTACCCTTGTTTTTTGACAATTGTACCTTATCAATGGATCCTCAGCCAGCCTCAGATAAAACACTGGGAAAAGGACAAACATTAATTGTGTCTTTGCATTTGTGTGTAAAATGGGGAAGGGTACACAGAAATTTAAATTTCCGTGAAATGAGTGGGTGTATCATGGGGGAAACCAGTATAGATGTGGGAAGGCATTTTGAGTTCAGGGTGCTGAAAGTCAGAATGACCAGCAGCCTTTACTGAAGTTCGTTTCGATAATCGGTAGCTACCTACAGCTAATAATGGTAGTGTTTTTTTTTGAGAAATAATCATGCAGTCTTTGTCATTGTGAGGTAAATGCTATGTTTTTGTTCCAGCGCTGCTGGATACTTGCATCATGTAGGATAGTGGTGTTTTTTGACAGGGCCCCCCTAGGACTGATATGTTTGGTCTGATGCCCTCCCAGCCACACACACTCACAAAGACAAACACACACACACACACTAAATCCAAATAAACTTCAAGTGGGGAAAATCAGGTGCTGGTACTCCCCTTGTTATTCACCATTGATAGGTGCCAATACTCTGAAAAAGAAAAACAAAGAGGTGGTGGTACTGTGTGCTGTTGAGTATCATGCCAGTACTCTGAAAAGAAAAACAAAGAGGTGCTGGTACTGTGTGCCGTGCAGTATCTTGCCAGTATTCAGAAAAGAAAAGGTGAGTACTGGCCCACTTCAAGGACTGGTCTCTGTTGATTTTTATTTTTCCCCTTCCCTGTGGCCCCCTGCAATTCCTTTGTGGCCCAACAGGGGGTGTCTCCACAGTTTGAATATCTCCTTTGTATGGTATTCTAGCTTACCATGCTCTTTGAAATTCATTTTCTGAGAAAAAAAAGGCATATTCGCTTCTGCAGTGATCCACCTGCCAGCAACTATCATCAGAACAGTAAATATAAACAAAACAAATGTATTTATTTTGAGCTTAAATTAGGATTTGGTGTGCATTGTTGTTTGTTTTTGTGTGCTTGTGGGGGTATTTCTTCACTTCTGTTTAATCAGTGCTGTTCAATTTAAATTTCTTTCAGATGTTATAAATTAATAAATAAGCCATAGAAAGATCTCCAATGAACCCCCTGTATTCCCACATCAGAGAGATTCTAATCTCAACATTTATAATATTATATTTGTAGTGCCTGCAAATTTTTATAGTAGATGAGATTAAAAATTGAGTATTGGTGCTGGTAGTTTTTCCTGATAAAAGCGATTCTCGACCATCCTGAAAAGAAAAACATAAAGCATATGTGACTAATTTGTGTACATAAGCCTAAAATCAAAGGCATAGAAGAATGCTCAAAAATGGATAGGGTTCAAAGGGTTAAGTCTTGTAGCGCAGGATTTTCATGCCTCCAGGTCGAGGTAATAACCAGTCACCAGCCATTCTGTTAGCATCGCTAGCCAACAGTGAGGAAACCGCAGTTACCATTGCTCATGTGGTGCTGATCGCCCTCTGATGGTACATGATAGGTTTGCAGCAAGCTACCTTGTCACACTAGTATTTCTCCCATATTATTACACTGTACGTCTTGGAAAAAATACCACCTACTTCCCTAAAACACACACAGCACAGATCGATTCAATCCCCAAACCCTGGAGGTGTCAGGTAACAAAACGATCATGTCACCCACAAAATGATAATAATAATAATTTAACGCACTAGAGTTTCACTGTGGTGTCATTTGAATCTTGGAAAAAAAACTAGATTTGATTTTCTTTATGGTCTAATGAATAGTTTCTCAATTCAAAGGTAAACACAGGCCATATCAAATACCACAGTGGAAATGGAATGCGTGTAAGATTGGATATCTCTAAACTTGTCAAGACTTATTTGTTTAGCCCCGAGCCTCTATGATGGACATGATCTTACTCCATGTTAAAGGCATGTGGGGAGAAGGGGGGGTGGAAAGGTTTATATGAAGGCTGGGGCAGTTGCCGCGATCATAGGTGAAAAGAGAGGCAGTGCACTACTTGTTGCCATGACCAGAGTTCTCTGTGTGAGCGTGATCCTCGTGCTTCTGGCTGTTCTGTGGTGCGACCACACAGGTAGGAGCTGCATCCCAGCCGCTTTCCAGGTCCACTGTATGATCTCACCTGGCTGCTTTTGTATTACTAACACTGATTATACAGATATATTGACTTATTGAAAGTGAATGGTCCAGGTTAACCTCCTCTGTGCTCCACAGCCCAGTCTCAAAGATCGTCGCTGAAGGGCACATGGCTGTCCCCATGCAAATGCCACTGTAAGTGTGACTCTTCAGGGCTGACTTGGTGTGCGTGCATGCATGTGTGTGTGTGTGTGTGTGTGTGTTTGTGTGGGTGCATGCGTGTGTGTGTGTTTGTGTGGGTGCATGCGTGTGTGTGTGTGTGTTTGTGTGGGTGCATGCGTGTGTGTGTGTGTGTTTGTGTGGGTGCATGCGTGTGTGTGTGCGTGTCTATGTCTATGTTTGTGTGGGTGCATGCGTGTGTGTGTGTGTATGTGTGTGTTTGTGTGGGTGCATGTGTGTGTGTATGTGTGTGTTTGTGTGGGTGCGTGTGTGTGTGTGTGTGTTTGTGTGGGTGCATGCGTGTGTGTGTGTGTGTGTGTGTGTACATGTGTACATTGTCAGTCTGGGGTCGAGCTTAACCTATCCGCCTTTAAAACACATGTCATTTAAGATGTCTCCATGCAAACTGGACTGTTTCTTTGTCAATTAAGTGGCTGGCAAGAAATATAAGACAATGAGTGAAGTGGTTTTCACAAGTAATGCTCTCTCTCTCTCTCTCTCTCTCTCTCTCTCTCTCTGTTGATATGTTCATACAGTAACCCCCAAAATGAAAGTGATCTGCAAAAAGGGGTTGTCTCCAAAGGAACAAAGGGAGTTAGCACGCTGTATGTGCAATCAGCGGCACAATAGTGAGTTGTTGCATTAATAATATGGTGGGAGGGATGGTGCTTTTTTGTAAATGTAGTGATTAATCTGAGCTATTTTAATCCTGTACTGAACAACTAAATGTTCTTTAAAAACTGTTTTGTGTAAGGTGGTACGAAAAGTCATATAAGGAAATTTCAGTGAATCCCAGGCTCTCTTCCCAGTGAATCTTGAACATACTGAACATTTATTCCAATGAGTTTTGGATTCAACTAAAATATTTTGCAGCCAGAATACATTTCACGCTGCCTTATAAAGGCTACAGTGCAAAATTTCTGCTCCCTGAAATACTAGACCAAGAAATCAGCCATTTGCAGATTCGTTTTATTTTAATGTCCTGTGTCACTGACTGAAGTCTGGACTCAGTATTAATGATGGTCTGTAATGTACTACCCTAAAAATATTGACATGGGTGTGCTTTTATTGTATTAACCTCTTTTAACCTTGTTTTAAGATAAGCCAGTAATTTACAGTCAATGTGCTCTGTCTGTCTCTTGCAGATATGTTAATCAATCACAGCCTTCAGAAATTTTGCCAAAAAGTCAAATTTTCCATCCCACTCCCCCTGGCCTGATGTAGTGGGGGGAGGGGAATCTGAAGAAGGAGGCTGCAGGAAAGGGCTGGAATCCTTAATACCCAGCATGCCTTTTCATTCCCACATGTTATAGTGTCCATCTTAATTACTGTTGTCTCATGCTCCAGTGTGTATCTTAAAGGGTAGGTTGCTATAACATATTAGCATGTAAGCGGTGAAGCCAGCCTTTCCTGTAACACTGGCACCTAAAGCCAGCATATTGCAGATTCGTTTATCAGATGCTATAGAATAGATTGTCTTTTTTTGCACTTCAGCAGTTTGAACAAATGTGAAAATATCATAGTATGAGCACCACTTATATTGCTAGAAATTATAGAGATGATTATATTGTTGTTAGTGATTTCTAACTCTTCAGATAATGGCATTATGAAAATGAAGCATTTGAATGTACTATGAATAAGCCTGTAGCCAAATAAGTCTGTATCTTTTGTGTTTTTTATAGGAGCATTTTGAGTTAATAAAGTCTTTTTATACTGATAACTGAGCATTAATTAATTGTCCCAAATGGTTACTTTGTACACCTGTCCACACATGAGCTTGTTTTTGTCACATACCTGAAGTATTCTCATACACATGGAACTCTGTCATTCAAATGTATACTTGAGTAAAAACAATGAACACCTAACAAATTATATACTTACCCACACAAACCAGTAAAATCAGTACGTCAGTAAAAGTCAATAGAGATCTTATCAGTCTTGATTATCCTCAGCAGATTGAGTTTAAAGTGGTTGGGTCTCCATCTCAAATGGCAGGAGACCTGGGGGGCTCCATTCTTATTCACTTCTATTTTCCCCTGAAAATCCCATTTCCATTCTGCTCTCTCCCATTGCTGCTTGGGTGCTGGATCCTGCACTTGTGTTCTAGAACCGAACCATGGTCCAAGGCTGAATGGCCAAGGGCATCACGGCAACAGAGAGAGGTAAAGAACTTGCAGTACAGTGAGTACCAAGCAGCTGGCTCCATAGCAACGGACACTCCCACTCCCTTCTGGAAAATGGACAGTTTACAGACAGCAGTACCTCAGCAAACTTGACTGACCGGTAAGAGTGGAATGCACATATAGGTGAGGGAACAGACGAGACCTGGGTATCTTTCTCTCCATCTGAAAACTCTGCTATTTATAAACTATAATAGGTAAGATTAGTTTGCAATTATGTGTTCCCCACTTTTATAGCTGTTCTGGTGGACTCATTTATGTAGCTGATATAAAAACCTTTTTTGTATGTTTGTATGAAGCCTTGTATAACTGGCAGAATCGCCGCCTGTTGTTTCTCCTAAAGGTCCTACCAACAGCGGTCTGACTCAGATATGAGCAGACTGTGACTTTCAGTGTGCTCCCATTTCCATTTCCACAGGCTACTGTGGTCCTTGTGCAGCCCCCAATGACTGAGGCAGGAACAGCTGCGCAGCTAGGGCAGTGGAGCACAGGTCTGTGCGACTGCTGGGAGGACATAGGCGACTGTAAGTCTGCGCTGCTTCAGTTGTCTGTCTGCTTCTGTCACACACTGTCCATCTGTCTGTCTCTAAATGCACATGCATGTCTGTAAGACTCGCTGGACATTGGAAGAAATCCATGGAGAGATGCCCTCTCTTGTGCTCACGTGTGTGTACGTGTGCATGTGTTATTTTAAATACTAGCTTAAATAGTTGTTCAAATAATTGAGAAAAATAAGTCAATTGGTTACATCCTAACCTGCACAGCAACATCCAGTCACATCCCATAATATTAAATGTTAACAGGAAACCAGCCTCCACTTCCAAAGCCACTTCCACTAGAATCCGTAAGTTATGAACTGCGGTACTGGGTGCCGGTTCATGTGGGACAATTGCAAATTCTGTGAGCAGGAATAGCGGTACCCCTTCACAAAAAGGCTCCCTTTTGTCACAATCAATAAAAAGAAAACTATCTTATAATTAATCTATTAATGATTTACAAAGTGCTATAACCTAGTTAATAGCCAGATTACAAACCATGCATAAGCCCTTTATAAGAGTAGATTTATTGGAATGCGATACCAGAATAAATAAGCCAGGTTTGGGAAGTAGCTCTATTGTAGATGAATTTAAACCGTGAAAAGCACTGTGTAGTTCCCTGTACTGAGGCATGCAAGACCAAAAATAAATGCAGCCAGGAAACAGGCAAACAGCCGCATTACATTATTAAATACGTAAATATTATTAAATACAGTATATTGAGAAACACCCCACCTGATTTTGACCCCCCCAGAGCATACTTTCTTCTGTTTCTCCCATGCTATGTCTGTCTGGCCCCCTCACCCCGCGGCCGCCTCTCCCTAAGTGCTGGCATCTCTCGTCAGGCTGCTTCGCCACATGGTGCCTCCCGCTGTTTGCCTGTAGGACCGCTGGCGCTGCCAGCCTGTGTCCCTGCCTCCCCCTGCTCGACTGTATGGGCTGTGTGCCCCCAGCCTCCTTGGCCGTACGCACCTCTGTGCGGGAGCGCTATGGTATCAAGGTACGCCAGCACCACGGTATCCCATGTAGGCATATTGATATCAGAGAGGCAGATGAGGGACAATCGGCAGGGAGGAGGTACTGACTGGGCTTAGAGATATCATGGTAATACCATATTCTACAGTATTTTTGATCAAAAATATCCCAACGTTTCCCCCAGACAAATTTTTACAGGAAATGCTGAAACATTCATAAAATTAAGTCATGATTTCATAATTTCAAAATACTGTATACTGTGGCACAATGTCTGAATGGTATGACGGTATTAAAAATGAGATAATGCCCAAGCATAGTACTGGTTAGGTTTTCAGTGATACACTGCAAAAAAATGAACATTCAAATTTCTGTTTCGACACAAGATGGCCTAAAACTAGCAAAATTATCTGCAGGTGCAGTAAGAAAATTGCTCTTGGTAAGATTTCCTAAAATGAGACAATATGCCTGAATGCAAGCAAATTAATCTTATTTGTAGGACATGTTATTAGTCAGTTCATTAATAAAATTAGAATTTTGTCTAAATATAAGGAAATTATACTTGCTTAGATATTCATTTTCTGTACTCTAAAACTTCTTGCTAGGTAATAGTACTGTTGCTGAATAGCGGGATGATTTTCGGGACATTGTGCATCATTCATAGCTGTCAGAAAGCTGAGCTTCCAGAACTGCGAGGAGAGGTGAGATGTCTGTGGTACCACCCACATGGAACAATGCTACAATGATGTGACGCTGATTTACGGGGTGAAGAAAGGAGACAACTTGATGTATCAATGGATAATTTTTTTTATCCTTGTATATTTTTAACATTCTATAGCACCCAAAAATGTGCCTAGAATAGGATATATGATATATATTATATATGCTATAATATGCAGCACACCTAAGCCTTGCAAGGCTGGGAGAAGCCGAGATGGCTTTGGTTTACCAAGGGTGTCATTTTTCCGAGGGTTTCCATCCCTCACCCTCTGGCCTGGTGTCATAGAGATTGGTTTTCTGTGACTCCCAGTGAATACCAGGTCCCTTAACCCCAAGCGCTCCAGGAACTGACTGACCCTGCTGCCTGATCCTCACATGTTGGTTTGGATCTGTTAAGATTAGTAAATGTAAGTAAAAGTAGCAGCCTGCACGTCAGAGTAAAAGAGGCCTGGCAGTCAAAGTAACAGGAGGCATAAAGGCTAAAAGATGATTTCAATTGTCAATTCAAGGAAACAGTCTTAAAACTGATGAAGAAATGTGCCACACATAGATAAACTGCACTGACAAAGAGCAACATCTTGGTTGCTCATCTTGACAAAGCCGTATCTCATCTGGCTTATGACTGATACTCATCAGTTCATGCCTCAGTTTCTTTCTGATGTAGGTCAGTTGGGAATTCCCAACAGCACTGCTAGCAAATTTACTTCAGAACTCCACTGAAGTGTTAAAATAAGATTTTTTTTTTAAACTACCGTTTCCGAGGCACGTTTTATAAAGCAGTACATTCCCCAGCAGTGAAGGGAGAGATATGGTTTATAGGCACGCAAAGATCCACTCGAGCACACACCTGCACATCCATATGCAATCAATCGCTGGGCATTTTAACTCCAAGGAAACCAATAAAGTGACCAGTGAGAAGGGTCTAAACCTGCTGGCAACCACTGCAACTTCAAAACTTCATTTTTTGGTAACATTTTATTTGACGGGGCACAAATATTTAGTAATATCCCAGTTACTACTGAAGTACAAATCATGAACAAATATAGTCGCTACTTAAGATAAAACATATAATGATTCATTAATGATGAACAAACTTGAGATCAGTATTTCATTTCTATTATTCATTAGTAGTTCACAAAGGTTTTCAGAATGAATTGATATACTAACAAATATAGCAACTGCTTTGTTAAAAGATGCATCACAATTCTTTAATGATGAACAAACATGAGATCCGTATTTCACTTGTGTTTTTAATAACTTGTTCCCTCAGTAGTTTCTTCAGTAATTCACAAAGGTTTACAGAATTTACAGATATGGTAATAGTAACTACTTGAGATAAAAAAAATGCATCATAATTCATCATTGATACCAGTATGTAACTAAGACTTTTTTTGTGGTTACATAATACATAAGTAACAGCATAATACTACATTATTTGTGCCCCATCAAGTAAAGTGTTACCTTTTTCTTCACAGATACACACATAAAAAACAGGATTAATATATTAGCTTTAGCACAATCAGAACTCGGATGTCAACTAACTTATGATTTTATAATTAATTGTCTTTTTTTTGTTTTCTAAATTTTTTTCCTAGAAATTGATCAAAGTATATGAGTATAGTGGGAAAAGTCTCTTTAAAATGCTGGTTAAACACTCAGGTACAAAAAAAGTGAAGGACCCAGACAGAGTGGTGAGAATTAAATGAATCTGCACATGGTGAAAGGTCACGTGCAGATGCAGGATGTCACTGACAGCACTGTGCCTTCAGGGTCCCCCGATTCACTACCAGAGATGACCTGAAGTCATACCGTATGGTTCCCCACACCATGATGCCAGGAGTAACGCTGGTGTGTCTCTCCACAACATTGGCAGGTTGGTTCTCTCCCCTCGGCGCCATCATATGCGCACCTGACGGTAACCTATGGTAATGTAGAACCAAGATTCATTGCTGAACATAGTATGACGCCACTGGTCATCAGTCCATGCCTCCCAGTTATGGCACCACTCCAAATGCAGCCATCTCTGCCCTGGTGTTAACAGGAGCCTACGCATGGGATGGTGAATACGTAGTCCGACTGATGCCAGTTGTCGCAAAACGGTGCAGGATGACACGGGGTGATGTAGAGAGTCCAATACCTGTGTCCGGATGGCAGGTGTAGATGTCATGGGGTTCTGTAATGCTTCCCGCACAATACTGCGATCCTCCCTTGGTGTGGTCAGTCTTGGATGACCGGAATCTTCACAACGTTTGTGGGTGTCCTCACGTGCCCATTGGTTCCAAAGTCAGGCGATGTGACTACCCGGCCTCATG